GTAAACTGTGGAAAGCCTGAATCGTAATAAGTCCCATCCAAATAAACCAGACTAAACAATGCTTCAAATTGATCAAAAAGTGGTTACGGCTAACCCCGATACAAGCAGTTTTGGAAGATCTTGAGCAAAAGCATCAGCCATCTCACGGCTTCCAATATTAGCAATACATTGAAGCGCAAGATTGATATGAACTGGGTTGCGCGATTGAAGATCATTTTTGATAGACTGGATTATCAACTTGATCAAGCTGGAGTTATTATTTATCAACACCGAAATGAAAAGATAACCCTAAAACAGAAATGATTTCCTGCGCACGCTCTCAGAAGCTCAGCCAGAACTATATAAACTATAAAACAATACATATATACTACTGCTCGGTAAAAAAGTCAAACCATCAAACACGAAAGAATAAAAACAACAGTGAAAATTTGCTTACAATTTGCTTTTCCGTGTACTTATTTGAAGTTAGTAAATTTACAGCCTCCATATGACCAAAATCAATGTCATTTCCGAGCAAAAATATGAACAGCAGTTTACAAACATATTTCTTTTTCTGGTATCCATCAATCATCTTATCACCTAGAAGTATAAGTGTAGCAAACAAAGTTCAAAAGAAGATAAAATTGTTCCTGATTGTCCACACAAACATGAAACAACACCTTTGAAAAATTAACAACTTCTATGAAGTGTTTTTCATCGATAATATTAGTAAAATGAATTAATGCTAAGAATGATTTCACTAATGTATTTCTCCAGTCGTCAAAAAACCTCCAGAAACAAAAAAAGAAAATAAACAAAATAAACAAAATAAAACCTTTAAATTTGCTTCTGATATTCGCTAGCTCCCTGTTTATCCTTTTCAGTTCAGCTTCTTTGCTCTTGCAGTTACGAATATCGGAGATAAAAACTGCAAGACCACGCATTCCATCCCCTTTAACTGCCGGCATTCTGGCCCGTTCCGCTGTATGTGATTCGGAAGGGAACCTTTTGCCTAGACTCACATAAAACATCACAGATTGTCGTGACGCCGATGAATTTTTTGTCGCATCAGAAAAATAATAAGTCGTAAAAAGAAAAAATTATCACATTAGGGATGGCAATAATAGTTGTGAACTTGTGGCTTCCAAACTGTGCCCACTACCTCAACTTTTCAAACCAATACAACACCGTTGCTGCCACGGTTCAAGCAGCGGTAACTATTTGAGAAATTGAAAAAATTAACAAAAAGTAAAGGAAAACAAAGCAAATGAACGGATCCAAAAGTCATGGTCTTAAAAAACAAGCAAAGCATTCCGAAAGCTAAGAAGAAAATTAAATTTCGCAACGGATAGGCAAAATAATAATAATGAAAATAAGATGATAATAATAATGACAATAATAATAATAATAACAATAAGAAGAAGAACGGTAAAATATTCAAAATCTCTAAGCGTCATGCACATCGTCCCCCCAACATTTCTCCTCAACGACCTACAAAACAGCTCAGGCTCCAGGCCAAAAAAAAAAAAAAAAAACCGATCAAGTTATTTCAAATGTAAACAATTAGCAGGAGAATTGATAGCCACAAAAATAAATATAAATAAAACAACAGTCCTTTCATCTCATCTTTCCTAGGCTTATTAAGAAGTGAAAAAGTGGAAGTGGCAGCAATAAGACGACGCACTTTGAACGCCAAAACCGCAATAGAAAGCATGGTATTCGTAGTATCATCGTCGTCGCCGTTGCCGTCCTCATCATCACTGTTGTTGTTAGGGTTGTTGTAATCGTTGATTAACCCAGCGAAGCGAAAAACACCAAATTTTTTACTGACTGGTAAATGAAACTCAGCAATGGCTGAACTTGTATACCCTGCGGTCTCTAATAAATCAAAATAAACTAAACTTCCTTCGTATAAATTGTTAACCACTGAAATATACTTGACCGACAGCAAATGAACTATAAGCAAACGTTAAAAAACCTGACATATACAACTGGCCGGTCACTAGGCGTGATGACTGAAATTATTACGGGTCGTTTTCGATGAGCAACACTGTTGATAATACATATGAGAAAGAGCCCTAATAGGAGTACGTACTACAAAAACTTTCCCTCCCCTTCATTGGCTTCCAGCAAAACTAACAATACTACCCATTCATTACTGAGCCAAATCGACTCAAAAGCAACTGATCCAAGAACCACTACAAAAACCACCTTCGTCATCATCATCATGAACGTTACCACGATCACAGTCATAACATCTGCACGGGAATCACCGGTCAACACTTTTTTTTTTCAACAATGACAACAGCTGAAACCATCTCAGCGAAAGAAATGCGCAACAGAACTCAAGTTATCAAAATACTAAAACATGGACACTAGCCCGAAAGATAATAGGGAGAAAAAGGGTAATAGAAGGGAGAAGGGGAAAAAAGAAAAAAAGAAAGGAAAATCCATTTTTGCAGCTGTATCGATTGGAACAGCAAAAATAAAGGATCGTATGTCAATTGGATGATTTGTCGAATCTATGAAAAATTCTCCCCAAACATTAAGCATAACGCTGCATCCTTCTGTGTATATCTACTTAGACTTTACCTTATCAAAAGGAAACATCAAAAAAAAAAAAAATTTTTTTTTTGTTCACTTAACCAGCTAATACAACCATATTAAAAGCATATCATAAGTGTAAACGGTTAAGCTACATACAGCTGCCTAGATTATCACTTACTTCCCTCAAAACAGTCAATATCGTCTACGTCTGTCTTTCCAACCAATAAAGACCAAAACCAGAAGCCATGCATGATTAGCAAGGCACTAATGGCCACCATCAAAAGAATGAATATTACTGCCGTTTGCTCCACTGAAACATTTACACGCTATCTAAGCTTACAAATTAACTGAACTGAAGCTGAAACTTTCCAAAAAGCTTTATTAGATTTGTTTCTCTTCGTTAGGCTTAATTGTCTAATAATCTCAAAAAAAATGGAACAGCAAAGTGAGATTTTCACCCATTGCTGCTGTTTCTTGATCAAATAACTATCACCACCATTGCCAACACTCTCAGTACAGTCACTGTTGTTCGTCATCATCATCATCTGCAGTAGCAGAACAATCTACTATAACAGTATCGCAACAAAAACAACAAAACCGTTAACAAATACAAATGACATGACGTTTGTTCATGCTTTAAATGTGTGTATATACCCTAAAAAGCACAGACTACCAAAACTGCTAGAAACAAAAAAAAAAAAAAAATTATGGAATCGAACTGGGACTGGTACAATAGTAAATTGCCACATTTGCCGACTCTCTGGTTATTTTATCGTTACTCTCGCAAAGGAAACGATATAAAAACTCGGCGATAACGCGAAAAAGCGATATTTTCGCAGAGGCTTTCGCGTAAGAAATATAGCTGCTATGTGCACATTATATAGTGCAATTAGTAGCTAATCAAAAAATTTTCAGTGCTATATGAACTTGCGGTTCTTAGAAGACGCTGACTCCATGACGTTTGATTCAGCATAACGGTTATTAAGAGAACAGATTTGTACACTGTCTCGATCAATGGACAAAACATTTTTTCGCTCTGCGTACCATAAATAATAACAGCATTTACCCAGTGTAGCCAACTCTGGTCATTTAATCGAACAACATATCCTATAGCAATGTTCTTTTACTTCACATTCTTGGAAATTAATTGCTTCAATGGACAGGTTTCCAAACCGTTCCCATACAGCAAAACAAACTGCGTTGTTTCTCTACCGCTTTCAGAAATATTCGCAGTATCAACAGTCCCCCACTACCGCTAACCCGAGCTATGAGTTGGCCAAATCCAGCAACCAAAACAGTGGATTCAGGTTTGAAATATACAGTATTATAAAATAAAATAAAATAAAATATAATATAATATAATATA